CAATGAGCATCCAGGGGCTGACAGTAGCCTTGGACTGACCTGTTTTGGGTGGGTTTCTTTTAACTTTCATCCAGTCAAAGGTCTGAGCTGGAGAAGATGTCTCCGAAGCAGGAGAGCGACAGGCTTCTTGGTGGCTGGCGTGAAGAGGGGACAAGGAGTTACTATACGTGGCCAAGGCCAGGCTCTGGTGCTCTTGTCCATATGAGTGGTGAATGTACTGAGGCGAGCCCACCGCGCCCCCAGCATAACCCTGGTGGTGGTGGTGATGCTGGACCATGGGAGATGAGAGATTTCCAGAGTAAACAGCGGGAGCGCACGGGGGGTACCCACCACTTACGTCTGCTTCCTGATTTAACGCATAGGGGCTGTAGGGCGCAGTGAAGTTCTGCGCGCCATAGCTTGTGCCACAACTCGAGTGTGAGTAGGCTACCCCCAGGTTCCCAGAAGTCTGGAAGGTGGTTGGCTGGGAGTGGTGGTGGTGGTGGTGGTGGGGTGGGCTGATTTGCACCCCCCTGCCCACTAGGAAGCGGTCGTCCCCGCCGCAGCTGTTGGCACTGACCGCGCACGACTGGAAAGTTGTAATCCCATGGTCCGAGGGGTAGGCTCGCGCTGAGCAGGTCCCAGAGTCGCCTCCGCTGAGGATGGGGTATTCCAGGAAGGAGTTCATTCTTGCATTGTCCATCTGTCACTGTGTAGCTGGTTGCTGAGACGCCCTGGATGACCGTGCCAACTTTCTCACTTCCTCCATGGGGCCAGAGAAGAAAAATGATATGAATGTACAGTGAGCAAGGGGGGAGGGGGGCTGAGAGGGCGGAGGGCGCGAGAGGAGGACCACGTGACCGCGCCAGCCAATGGCGGAGCCTCCTGCGAAAGTTTGCCGGCACCGCCGGTGATGGATCACCATTTCAGTGGCATTTAAATCCCCGGCTCTTCTCCGGGTAGGTGTCGCGCAATCGCCCCCCCAGGCAGCCCAGGCGGCGGCAGCGGGCCAGGCAGCAGCAAACCGCAGGTTCTGAACGCGGGGCCGAAGGGGAGCAGGCTACTTTCAGCGCGCGCCCACCCCGCGCGCCCCCCTCCAGGAGGTGGGGGCTGAAGGGCATTCCTACCCCGCCCTCTGCGGTGCGCACAGAGATGAACTGACAAGAGGTGAGGAAGGAAGAAAGCTCCCCTCAATCGTGTCGGGAATCAGTGGGCTAGAGCTCGCTGGGTGGCCACAGGTGCCCCCGCCCACTGCGAAGCGCGAAGGGTGGGCACTGGCCGGACACTGCGCCCCTGGTTCCCCAGGCACGGTACAGTCCCTACTGGAGCACCCCGAGGTCCGGAGCAGCACAGACAGGGAGGCGGCCAAGCTGAGCCGCTGGTTCTCCCAGTTCTAGGAGGAGAGGGATGTGAACAGATTGGAAGACACCTGGGTGAGCGTGGAGGGGCTGGGGGTAAGGAAACACACGTCCCCCCTCCGGGTCACCAAAGCTGCCTTCCTGCCCCTTACACCCTCGCCATTAGCAAGGCTAAGGAGGAGCTTCAGCCCTGAAAAGCCCGGGGGCGCGTCAACCCACAGGACGAGTTTGCCGGCCTAGTGGGCGGCAGGGCCCTTCTCAGCCCTTTCGCTCGGCTCTCCACCCCTTCCTCCTCCCCACTCTGGCCGCTCCCAGCGCGCTCCGGGAACCCCAGCTCTGCCGCGGCGTTTTGAGGGGTAGGGGGCGGGGAGGGATGACGCCGGCGGACGTGGCCGGCGTGGGGGCCGGGCCGCGTGCTGCAGGCCATCTGCCGGCTCCCCTGGACCCTGGAGCCTGCGCGCCCGGACAGAGGCCTCAAAGGGCCGGACCGCAGCGCCAACAAAGTACGCCAAACTCCCTCCCCACCCCCCGCCACGTTTCCCTTATTATTTTTTTAAGGGGATTGTAGGGAGTGGGAAAGCCTCCTCCTCCCACCCCCTACATCCTACAGATTAGGGGGCTAGCAGGTGGGAGGGGTGGTGGACAGATGGCTGACGGTGGACGGGGAGGAACACTCACCTCTTCCCCAAGACCCCCTCCCCTTTCCAACTGACTATGTAGCTGCTTGTGTTAACTCTCAAGTCTTTTCCAAGAGAGACACGTGTAAATCCGAGCGTCATCCCTGGCCAGGGGTCCTGTTCTCCATCACCCACGTACTACTCTGGGGCTGATAGGGTCATTAATTGCTGTTTACTATTAGGTTTGGCGTCACCCCAGGGCTTGTAAAGAGAAAAGGCCAACTGGCGGCGGAAAACTGATGGATTCTTAGGTAGAAGAAATCCAGAGACCAGCCAAGAATTCTTGTAGCCAATGTTCAATAGCGTTTTCTCTGTTTACAGCATCAAACCTAAAAAAAAAAAAAGCATTTTTGGTGAAGATTGCATGAGCGTTTGGAGTTCCCACTCCCCTCTTGCTTCTCTTCCCTCGGTTGAAAAGAATTAAGCCTGATTGAAGTAGCTACATTTGAAATACATCAGACGCCTTTTCAAGTTTTTATGTTGTTTTCCGAAAATAGACTCACTAAAAAGAAAAAATTCAATAAAACCCAACGTGCCTACCCTTTTTAAGAAGAAAAACCTACGCAGACCTTTGGCTCTGAACTCAGTAGCGAAGAGATAATGCCCCCCAAACGTTCCTTTAGAAATGGTATTTCTGTGTGACCTTTGACCCACTCCCACGCATGGTGGTTGAAGGGGCGCCAGCAGGAGCAGTAAGATTCAGCTCCTGGGGACCCTCCTGCAATGGGTTGAGGAAGGCGAGGCGGCCCTCCTGGAGCAGCTTCCTTGTGAGCTCCAAGCCTCTAGCGGATCCGGGAGGGAAGGGGGCTGTGGAGGGAAGTAGGGGCTCCTTGCAGGCAGTGCAAGCGATCTGTTCCCAAGGCCTAAACGATCTCTTCCCAGCTCCTGCCTCATGGCTGTACCTTCATGGCGCTTCTTGGGCTAAATCTGCGTGACCTCCTGGGAGGCCGCAGGAGTCACAAAGCCGCCCCGGCCAGTCACTCATTCTCTCACTCTCCTCTGCTGGCAGCCAGGCCTCTCCATTCATTACCCCTCTCCATCCACCTCTCCTCTCTTGCTTTCTTCCACCCCGGTGGTTTGTTGTTTCTTTCCATCTTCAGGGTCACCTCACAGGCCTGCAGACAAAAGTGCTGGCCACCGCCCAGGTAGGCCGGGCTCCAGGTAGGCAAGCGGCTCCACCTCTGCTGGCTGCTGGGAGCCCGGTGCCCTAGGACGGCTGCCCGGGCCCAGAGCCCGTAGGCGGCTCCCACAGCTGGTTCCTTCCTGCCCCCTTACCCCCTCCAAGCAGTTCTGGGGCTCAGTGGGCCGGATTGGGAACTCTAGTGCCCTGTAGGCACCGAGGCAGGGCGCGCAAGCCAGTGCCCCTGTCTCAAGCAGCCGTTCCTTTTAAACGCCTGGACCAAAAAGCGAGCTTTGGTCACCATTACAATAATCTTCCACAAGCGGTTCGGATGGTTTACAGGGCCTCTTTCGGGGCTTTTTTGCCAGAAAGGAAAGGCATGAGGAGGAGACCAAACACCGCCGAGGCCGGGAGCTGTTCGTGGCACCCGCGGCTCAGCCAAGCTGTTGTTTTAAAAGAGCAATAAAAATGAATTATGACTAAACGCCCTCTAACTTAATGCTTTCGGACGGGGATCCCTGGCAAATACGTAAGAGCATTTTTATTTGTGCATGTGTTCTTGCAATTGATCTCTTTGATGACATTCTCATTCATAGAAAACGTTTGATTTATGAGCTTAGGACGAATCGCATCCAGCAGCCGCACAGCCCTGGCCTGGGCTGGGCATTCCTGCTCGGCGCCCCGCCTAGGCCATGAAACCAGCCCTGGTCCCCTTGCCACAGCCACTGCCAGAATTTAAGGGGTGAAGAAGGGGAGGAGGAAAGTGGGGAACAGACTCAGAGAAAGCCCAGGGTTTCATTGTAACTTTCAGGCCTTTGCAGTTAAAAGCAGGCTTGCTAAATCAACCCGCCCCCACACATGTTGCTAATACGCTGCATTTTTCTCACGGTAAGTGTAGCCTCAGAGCTGAGAAAGGGAAAGGTAAATGTGAGGACATGTAAGAAAAGTAAAAAAAAAACCAGCCCAAGAGCACACCCTAGATTATATTTTATTGATACTCCATTTAAAGTGCTATTTTCCCTTTCTTTAGAAATCGAGTTAGTTTATAAATAGGGTGCAGAAACACACTATTTTAAATCTCAACTTGCTAACCTGACTTCAAAGCTTTAATGATCCATTATTTGCGATGTAAACAAGTTTAAGAATGAAATATTGATTTTTCTGACCCTGGGGGGAAAAAGGAATCCTAGAATGACAGAACCAGAGGATTAAAAAGAAGCCTTCTTGCAGTGCACTTTTTTTGGCTAGTAACAATTGTTTTGTATTATTGTGGTTGTGGTTTTTTTTTTTCCCTCTATTTTTCAGGTCTGTTTGCCTAGACCCATCAACAGCTGGGAGACTCATCAACCACTCTGAAAATGAGAAGGGGGTTGGGAGGGAGGGGTTGGAATGTAGATGTTTGAAACGGATGTGTATAAATAAATGAATTGCTGTTAACCATAGTTATTGACCTGGAGACTGGTAGTTTGTCAAAGAAACTCCACTTTCCTAGTTTCTGGAGTGGAAAGTTCCTGTAGGCACTTTTATTTCTCCACTTTCAAAAGCTTCAGTTTGGCTCTGCTCTGCACCATACTGCTTCTATTCCTGATTCAAATCTATGGCTTGAACCTTTACACTGAAAACCATATTTGTTTCCTTTAAAACAAAACAAAAACAAACAAACAAAAAAGCACTTCTCATAAGCCCTAGCCTGGCTTTCTTTTTTTGTCTCTGTCTAAAGACATGCCCCTTAATAAATATATTAAAATTGAAAAGGAAGATAAATTGTGACCAGAATTTTATTTACCAAGTTAGAATAAAAGAAGAAAAAGAAATTGAAATCATTATGAGCCATGAGAAAGAGAGGGAGAAAAAAACTAAGAAAGCTACTTGTAGTAAAGGCGAATTTATTCTACCAAAAATAGGCATGACAATGCATCCTAATGTAATACAAAAATAAAAAGAAAGTGAAGATACAATTATATGATCACTTTCTTGCAGGCCTCATATATTGCTTTCAGGAAAATCACAGAGGGTGGCTGGCTGGGTTAAATTTAAAATAACTAAGACTCCAAAATAATCTGTAAAAGGTGACTCTGAATCTGGGTCAGAGGGAATCACTAAACAGAAAATCCTCAACAATTAAAGAAAGGCGGGGATAGGTTAAGAAGAAAATAAGGTAAACATCATCTCCCAGAATTTTAAAAAGGCAAAACCACCTGACCAAAGGGGTTTTTGTTTTGTGATGCTTTGTTTTGCTTTAATGTTTTTAGTAATTCAGATGCTGCAAGTCGATTGTGGTGAGTGTGTCTGTAAAAAAGTCAAAACTGTCAGCTGAAATATCTACAGGGCTGTCCAGAGAGCCTGGCAAACTGGGCGAGACTGCATCTGAAAGCTGCAGGCAGGAATCTGTGGAAAAAACATTAAAGTCCTGCAAAGAGGGGACTTCGAGGGCCTCGGGACTGTCATTGTTTAGGCCAGCGCCACAGTTCTGGCCCATTGTTGACAAGCAGTTAGGAACAGTGGGTGACTGGTGCTGAAAATGTTTCAGATTTTTCTCATTGCTGGTTAAAGGCGAAATTGGAAAACTTTGGGAGTCACCATTGTGTCCATTGGGAGCCTGCTGCTGAGAGAGGGCATTTTGCTGAAAAGTGTAGCTGTCCCTCTCCAGAAGGGCCCCGGAGACGCTGAGGGCTTGCTCGAACAGTGACTTCTCCTCCTCATCCTCCTCGGCCTTCTCAGAGTCTTCGAGGCTTTTGAATTTCCCATCACTGTTCTGGTTCTCTTTGCATTGGGTCTGCCTCTTGTGCTTCATCCTCCGGTTCTGAAACCACACTTTGACTTGTCTTTCGGTCAAATCCAGCAAAGCTGCAATCTCGACCCTCCGCGGCCTGCAAAGGTACTTGTTGAAGTGAAATTCCTTCTCCAGCTCTAGAAGCTGCGTGTTGGTGTAAGCAGTTCTCAGGCGCCGGGAGCCCCCGCCGCTGCCATCGGCGATTTCCAGTGATTCTGCGGAAAGGGAAACCAACAAGAAACACAGGCACAGTTGGAGGTGGAAGGGTTCGAGGGAGGTTATTCCACTGGAGAATAAACACGGCAGACCAGAGCAATGGCAACAAGATGGCCGCCCCTGGATGCAGCCGAGCCATTGTGCAGCCCTTCCGGGGAACCCAGCCCCGGGAGGCCGCATCTCCTCCACCTCCACCACAGCCCTGCGCGCAGCCCTCCCTCCTCAACCTCTCCATCCGGGAGCAAACTTTATATTAGCCACACCACAATTTATAATTAATGCATCAGCTGCTTAGCTGAGCAAGAGCGATCTATCACTCTTCATTACTGTCAAAAAGCCAAACTCCAGGACAAGAGACAAGAGGAGGTCAGTTCCAACTCAAATAAATCATCCCACATTACACAATTTAGGGAAAGTTTTTTTTTCCCCTCTCCCTTAAGAAAAATAATAATAATATGTACGTCTCATTGTGGAGTACACGAGCCTGTTCTCTGCAGCCAGCCCTGGGCTGAGCCTGCAGGGGAAGGAAGCGAAAGGGCAGCCAAGCCTCTCTGCGTGAGCTCCTCTCCCAGTCCACCTCCCCTCCCCCCCTGAGCGCGCCGGGCCAGGCCCGAGGGGCCGGAGGGTCCCGCGCACCCCGGGCCACGGCTGGGGACTGACCTTTGTGGCCGAGGCAGGCAGGGCCGGTGGCGGCGGCGGCCGAGGCCGGCGGCAGCGCGGACTTCTTGGCCGCCTTCTTCTCCTTCATCCAGGGGTACTCGGGCGGCTGCAGGGCGCCTGCGGGCACCGGGCTGGCGCGGCTGCCCGCGGGGCTCGGCTTGGGGCGGCCGCCGGCGCCGTGGCGAGGGTGACTGCCCGGGTTCAGGCTGGGAATGGTCTGTTCAAAAGGAGGAGGAATCAGTGTCGAGTGTGAAAGCGTCGAGGTCTTGATTGATGAACTTTGAAATGTATCAGCGACAGGGGGAAAAGATGTCAGGCACTCAGCGAGCGACGGCTGGCTATTGATAAAACCAATCTCTCGCTCAAATTCGTAATTCATGGCCTTCTCCTTGGAGCCCCCTCGGAGAAAAAGTTCCCTCTTCTGGAGGGGCTTTGGGGGGGCGAGGCCCAGGAAAAAGGCAAGCGCAGAGGAAAAAAAAAATCTATCATAGAAGATCGCTGCTGGGGTGTTTTTTTTCTAATTCACTGATTACAGCCGTATGGGGACCGCGCTACTATTAAACTATTGAATTCATGGAGACAAGGTTGAAATTGGACCGAATTGGCTGTCACATGATTGCTTCTGCCCAATGACAATTTGGGCTTTAATCAAAAGAAGCCACTGTCTGTTTGATTGATCCAAAAAAGTCGAGAAGGAACGCCTCATTGGGGGCCAGCGAGGCTTTATTTACACTTTTTCAGGGCAAAAAAATACATATCTGTGGGTGTGGGCAGGGATGCCCCCGGAGTGCTGGGGCGAGGGTGTCCGGCTGCCTCCAGATCTGCGGGCTCTGCCGCGCGCCCGGGAGGACGCGGGGCCTGAACGCGCGCGCGGGGGAGGCCCGCCGCCTACCCGCCGCCCTGCGCCCCCGCGCACCCCGCGCATTGTTTGGGACTGTCGAGAAGACGCCTCGCACCTCACAAATCATTTAAGCACCTCAGCCTGACGCCTGCAGTCATTAACAAAGTAATCCATTAATCTTCAAAGTTTTGACACCTGAGGGCCCACATCCCAGTCACACATAAGTTCTGCTAAAGCCGAGGAAGGAGCAGAGGGAGAAGGGAGATGACAGAGGTAGAAGAAAGCGGGAGGAGGGAGAGAGGGAAGAAACAAGACCAGAGAGAAGAAAGAAGAAGGGCTTCCTTTCTGTTTGGGTTGAGTTTAACTTTTATTCCGCGGCCCCCCCCCCTTTCTAAATCGGTTTCTGGATATCAGAATTGCTCGCTCGCTCTCTTTTCCTCCCTCTCTCTTTCTGTTCCTACTCTTCCTCTTTCCGCCTGCTCCTCTTCCTTCTCCTCCCTCTTTTCCAGCTGCCCCTCACCCATCCCCTCAATGCCCAGCCTGGCGTCCGAGCCCCTGGACCTGGCCCCAGCCCATTGTTAGCCAGCTTTTCCAAGGCAGCTTTGCATCTGGCTCCGGCGGGAAGCGGAAAAGAGAGGCGATTCTCGAAGCTTCTCAACCTTCCTGCACCATCAACTTCTCAAGAGTGGCTCGAGAAAGATAGATGCTCGTGCCAAGAGAGACAACAGCCCCAGTTCCTTGTGTCCAAATCCCTGTAGCCAGGGCGGCAACCAGCCAAAGAAATGCCAACCCGAGCAGGAGCAGGCGTGTACGGCTCCTGGCATTCTGGGTTTCATACCCGTAGGGCTCGGGTGCGGTGAGTATTTCCGATTTCCAGGAAGTCTGGTGGAAGCAAACAGCAGGGAGGGATTAAACAGACGCTCATTCTTTCTTTTCCCCTCTCCTTCTCCTTGTCCTTCTGGGGGCTGATGGACTGAGATGATACAGTGGATGCTCCCTGGCAACCCGTGTGCTTCCCCCACCTTGCTGCTCCGTGGGCACCGAGCACTGGATGATGTTTGAGCCGGGCTTGTGCTGCAGGACACAGCACTTGGAGGGGAGAACGCAATCCAGAGAGGACATTTGCGAAGGTTCTTGAAGGCTTAAGTCTTAGAGCATCTTGGACTGTGCTGGAAGGTTCAAAAGATAAAACCTTTAGGTAGAAAACAATAACTTTAAAAATAATAATAAAAAAAAACCAACAAGAAAGAAAGAGGGGAGGACGTTGAGAGAGAAAAGAGAGAAATCTGAAAGTACCTCTTTTTTTCCCCAAACCCTGAGGATGGTGATTCGCTTTTCTTCCTTTGAAATGGACCAAGTGATCAGACTCCCCCAGGCCAGTAGGCAGGCATTGGTGGCAGGAAAATAAATCATTCTGATGGCCAGGGAGAGAGAGGTTGGCGGTGGAGAAAATTCTAAGTAGAAAATAAGAAAGGCCCAACCAAGGCGCAAGGGCACAACTCCATCTCTGAAGCATCATAGGGAGTTTGGATTGTAAATTAGGTCTAGAATCGCCTCTATCTTTTAGAGTCCCGAGCATACCTTACAGATAGAGATGCTATTTTGGAAAATGTGAGGTTTTTCAGTTTTCTTGCTTTTATTCCAAACAAAGGTCCGAAGGAAGTCTGGGCGCGATCAATCTTGCTCACCAAAAGCCTTGACAGCTTCTGGCCCTTAAGAACACATTTCAGCTTCCAGCTCTTTCCAAGATCAAATGTGGCCGAGCAAAGAGGCAACCAGGAAACGCAAGTAAACCAGGAAAATTAGTCTTTTAAAGATAATTTCTGGCAGTGGAAAGGGTTTAAAGGAGTGTTTTCAGAAAAGGTGATTTTTTTGACTCTTTGGGATGGTGGCTTTTGGCATTTGCTTTTTTTACCAGAAAGTATCCAGGGTTAGAGGGAGGGACGACTGTGCAACTGCTGCCTCCGCATCACTGAGGCTTTGTCAGGAGCTGCGTGGGTGAAAGCTTTCTGCCCGACTCAGGGCCTTTAATTCAAATGCCATCTGGAAATCTTTTTTTTTTTCTCTGACCACTCAACACTTCAATCTCCCCTTTAAATCTACTGCTTTAACTTAGCAGATATTTTAATAAGGATTTTTTTTTTCTCATATCTAGGAAGCTGAGGGTAAGAAAGATTTTTTTAAATCTAAATGAAGGATTGACTGGCGAGACATTGAAAATATTATTTCATTTCAAAATCTTACCCTGAGGGGGTAACCCCCCAAATCTTAATAGGTGGATTTTAGACAATGATTAAAATAGCGGTATCCCTGAAAGACTTCCCTTCCTGCACTGATGGATGGATGGATGGATCTCTCCCTCAGAGACACTATTCCTTATTTTCCAAGGTAATTTTATAATTTTATATGCATCTCTAAAATGACTATTTAAAAGAAGATTACTATCCTCTGCGTGAACAACCAAAAGGGAGAAGCTCCAGTTTTCATAAAGCCTCTGAATTTCTGAGGTGCGCCATATTTCAAGAGGGAGGTTGGGGGTGGGGAAGGAAACCTATCTCTTCTATAGTGTGTGTGTGTGTGTGTGTGTGTGTGTGTGTGTGTGTGTGTGTCTTCCCAAGACAGGCATGGAAAAGCACTTCTGGGTATGAGAAAAACACTTCAGCTTTCTACATCTGCCACCCTTTGATACCTCCTTTTTTTTCTTTTTCCTAAGACATGAGGGGATTCCAAAAAAACCAGCTCCTACACCAGGCACCCAGAAGTGACTCCAAAGCTTGTTTCCAAGGATCCTCTAAGGGAGCTTCTCAGGGGGAAGACAGGGGCCATGATGATGAATATTTTGGATTGCAAACAAAATGGCGACACTTTTCACCTCTGTTTCTGAAAGATACAATCCAGGAGGAAAGGGATTTATTTCTCACATCAGATGCTCCCGATTTCCAGACACAGGCGGTTCTTCACGTTTAATTCTGAAGAGAGTGCTGATAGGAATGCAGATCTGAGGTTTGCATGTTCTGGATTTTATGCCTTCTCTCAGCAATTCTTTACTCTGAAAATGAAAATATTTCCCTCTACTGTGTCTGTCTGCCTTTGCCTCTACCAGCCGGTCTATAAGCAGCCCTATCTTAAATCCAGGAGTGGAGATGGAGTATTTAGCTCCTGTAGCATTAAATGAAAGCATATTTATAAAATTTCATTTTTATTAGAAAGATACCAATCTCCTTTCTCTCTTCTCCTCCCTCTGGGGCCATAAAAGGGAAGCATGGGGGGAATAATAAATCCAATAGATGCCAAATGCCAAATTCCTGGAGGAAGTAGATGCCGAGATTCTGAGATTCTGGCAGTCCGGGTAAGGCAAGGGAGGCTCTATTCCTTTACATCCAATTTTTTTGCTGGCGACTTTAGAGGGTCCTCCTCCCTTCCAAACTACCTTACTTTCAAAGTCAATTTTTGGAGCAAGTCTTTCCTCCTAGGGTGACAATGGATGGTGAGGACTCAGATTACTGGTGGCGAGTACTGAGCATCCCTTGGTGAAGGCGTGGGCAGGTCAGCTTAGACTGAAGGAATCGCGCGAAGAAGTGGGCAGACCTGCCTCTTCCCTAGACAAGGCCTCACTGGCACCTGTGCGTGGCCCACCAGCCTCGGTTGGGTCGGCTGCCTTTGTCTCTCCCGCACCTGGTGCTCCGCCGCCCCGATGCTCTGGGCTGGTCTCGGCAGCAGCTGGGAACCAGACAGCGCAGGAGGATACGCGGTGCTCCACCGCAGGCCCCAGGCTGCAGGCCTCTCGGTCTGGAGCTGCGCAGCCTGCTATGCTCACTTCTGCCTCAATTCCAAAAAACCCCTTAGGAACACGGATATTATTCAGAATAAAAACTTTATTTTTTTTGTTTGTTTTGTTTCTCAGAATGTGAGCAGCAAGGAATGTAGAACCCTTAAAACAAATCTAGCATTTTTCACGTTTACAGATTTGCTTTTTCCCCCCTCTCTCATTTCGCCGGATGTTACAAACCTGAATTGCTGTGAAAATTCAAAAGCTGGATCCTCTCGGGTTTTATTGCATCATCATTACTGTTTTTATAAAGGAACTATATTTCCCTTTCAAATATTTTTTTTCGTATGTACGCCAATACACCATTGAACAAAAGGCCCAAGAAACCTTCTGAACAATCAGGGTACAGAATGTCTTTAATATAAATACGAACGGATGGGGATAAATAATATTTAAAACTTAGATTATTCAATGTTTGCAAAAAAAATATAAATAAATCTGACTGTTCACCAGCATACACACACGGAAAGACGTACACTTAGTCATCCTTGCACAGGGAGCCCCTGTTTCAAAGCGCCTTTGATATTTTTTTCCTCGTTCTTTAGAAGAAGTGCAATTTTTAATTTAAAAAGAAATCTAAAAATTAAAAAAAAATAAAAACAACATAATCGCTTCCCCTCGGGAGCCATAATGTACGAACAAATTCACATTGAAGAACTTGGCTAGAAAATTTGTTCATATACCCTGTTTCTAATCAAAGAGTGGAGAAGGTAAAGGGTGAGGGCCAGAGGCCTGTGAGGGGCCAAAGAAGATAATTCTCTACCGATACTGACAGCCATTCTGATACTGACAGCCATTCCAGCAACCAAGATTGCTACGTCACATAAACTATAAAAACGCATTACCAAAGAAAACAAAACGGGGAGGGGCAAGGAGAGGAGGGGGGCAAGTGGACAGAAGGGAGGAGGGGAGGAAGAGGGAGGGCCAGGAAGAACTTTAAACCCAAAATAAAAACAAAACCACAACTGAAGAAGAAAAGTGGGGGCTCTCCTGGCGTGCAGCCCCTAGCCCACCATCACAGGTGGGTGAGTTTGGGCGCTTCCTGAATTCTTCCCTGAGAAGGATGGTGGGCTGTAAGGTCCGTGTAGGTGGGGTGTGGCTCCCCAGGCCCTGGCCCATGGTGGTGGCCACTGCCTAGAGGGCCAGCTCCCCCATAGTCCATAGTAGCCGAGGTGGCGTGCGGGAGGTGAGTTAGGCCAAAGATGGCTGGCCCGGAGTTGCTCATGGGTTCCACATAGCTGCCCCCCACGAAGACGGGGCTTCCCTGTAAGTGTGGGGTCCCATAGCTGCCATTGCCTTGTAGGCCATGCGCATGAGGGTCATAGTCAGGGGTGCTGCCTGCCCCTGCCCCTGTGTAGCGCTTCTGTGGGGGTGGTGGGGGAGCACAGCTGGACAAAGGTGCAGGGTAGGAGGCTGGAGGCAACCCGTAGGCTCCTTGGGGAGGCTTGGAGAAGGATGGGGGTGACTGAGGCTCATATGGGACACTGTTCACCAGCGAATGCATAGAGTTCAGATAGCCACCAGCTCCTGGGGGCACAGGGCTGCGACTAGGGGACTGGCCCCCTGAGGATGTCAGCATGCCCTTGCCCTTCTGATCCTTTTTGTATTTCATACGGCGGTTCTGAAACCAGATCTTGATCTGGCGCTCAGTGAGGTTCAGCAGGTTGGCCATCTCCACACGGCGTGGCCGACACAGGTAGCGGTTGAAGTGGAACTCCTTCTCCAGCTCCACGAGCTGAGCACTCGTGTATGCGGTGCGTGCCCGCTTGGATGATGCCTGACCAGGAGGGCTCTTATCACCAGCACAGCTCTCGCCTGGAGGACACAGGAGAGAGGACCATAGCATCAGGGCCTGCCTCAGGCCTACTCAGCCTCTGACCAGCACAGTCCCTCCTTCCCCCAAGTCCCAAGGAGCCCTCTACCAGTCAGGTTTCAGATAGGAAGGTGGAGATCAGGGAGAGGAACAAGGGGCTGCCCTCTCTTGGTGGAAGAAAGCACCTACCCCTTCACTCAAAAAGCAAATCATGGGCCTCTCTAAAGACCATTGTTGTTCTGTACCCTAGAGCTAGAAACAGAACTGATCCATAGTTGACCCTTGAGGTTTTTCAGAGGTAGTAAATCACACAGGAGACTGCCCATCTTTCGCCTAAGCAGCAGCTGGCAGACTTGAACCTTGTGTCTTTGTGTTGGCAGCACAGCTCCTTACAGAGCGCCACAGAGCTCCCTCTAAAGGGCATAGCACAGGAGCGGGGGGCAGGGGGGGGGACCGCACAAAAACACAAAACCCAGAACATCCTCCATCCAGCTCTCCTGGTCTGTGTTCTCTTTCTGGAGTTGTCACTTTTTGCTTCATTTGGGCCTATCTGACTACAAGCTCCCTTTGGGCAAGTCTGACTCACCACTTTCATTCCCTTAAAAACAACTAGAATGCAAGACATCTAATGCACAGCTAGGAAATCGTCTTACCCTGCCCACTATCTGATGAACTGTATCTCCTTAACAATTCACTTATTTATTATCTACTCAGAGAAGACTGAATGAAAACCTCAACCTGAAAGGCTTTCTCTCCCTAAAAGAAGAGATTTCATTTAAGGGAGGCCCAGGCCTCTGACACTCAAACCTAATCAGGTTCCAAAGTCCCCTGACCTAGGTTCATATGCTAATCCTCTACCCTTCTCTCCTCCTTGGTTCCCCTAGATTCTGAGTGTCCAGTTGTTCAGTCTCAGAGCAGAGCGCTGGCAACTGGAGAAGGCAGGGAGGGCAAAGGTAATCAAGACGCTAGGAAGCTTGAAGTGAAGCCTTTCCTCCACTGGAGTCTGGATCTTGGAAGCACATGTGGTTCCCATTAGGATGACAAGCCTGCATCCCCTCCCCCAGGGGATCCCAGGCTTCCTCCATTGTACTGAAGTCTGAGCTAGGCCTACCCAGAGGTAAGGCAGCCACTCCATCTGCTGGAGCAAAAATAAGCTCTGCTTATAGGCAAAACATGGATTCCCACTTGGAGAATGGTTAGTTCTTTTATTCTGCCACACTTGCAGTGTAGGGAAGATGTCACTGCCTCATTAAAATGAAGAAGCTGGACCAAACAAGGAGCCAGTGTAACACAAGTTGACTGATCCAAGAGGTCTAAGTGGAGGAGTGAAACAAGAAAATGTCCTACCCTCACTAGGCCCCACTTGCCCTTCAAAGGGTCCAGAGAGACCCCCACCAGGTCCCTCTCTGGGGTTTCATTGCCCAGAGAACCAGCACCTCCCTAGTTGCAAAGACTTCTAGAAAAATTTAGGAGGGAATAGTGAGACCATGAGATTGTGGCTGGAGGTGGTTTGGGGAGGTGAGATCCAGGCCTCGGCACCCTCCTCTGGAAGGCACCTTTTTACCTGAGCTGGAGCCGCTGGTTTTCTGCTTTGTATTTTGCCGTGACTCTTTCATCCAGGGGAAGATTTGTTTGGCCACGGTGGGCGAGTTGAGCAGGGGGCTTTTGGCTGTGCTGGCAGGCGCAGGGTTGCTACTGCCATTCTGAGGTGGGGAAACCGAAGAGGGAGGCTGGGGCGTGGCAGGAACGGGTGCGGGGGGCTGCGGCGGGGGCTGCGGGGGCTGCGGGGCAGGGGGTGCGGCCTGGGGCGGCGGAGGGGGCAAGGGTGGCTCGCCCAGACCTGGGGGCTGGTTGGGCGGGCCATTTAGGGTGCGCAGACATGCTTCGCTCAGTTCGTGCGCCTTGGGGTGACCCCCTGCGCTGGCGGGAGATTGGAGTGAGCAGGCGGGTCGGTGGTAGTCGCCGTCGGCGCCCAGAGTCGCCGACGCCGGGTACGGCTGCTGGCTGCCATTATACGCGAAGCCGTTGGCTGCCTGATAGGGGTAGCCACCGTAGATCGCCGCGCTGTCGTAGTAGGTCGCTTTTTGCATCGCGTTGTTTCACGGGCCCGAGCGCGCACTCTGACAGAGGCTTGACACCCGTGAGGGCGCACATTGGCACGCCCCCGCCGTCACGTGACGCTCCGCCGCCAATGGCCGCTGCGCGCAGACCTGGGGGGCGAGAAGCGCAGCGCGGTGAGGGCTCCGCGCAAATCCATCTTACTCTCAATAGCTAAGTGACATGAAAGCCATAAAAGAAAAAGTGGTCAGCAATATTTAGCAGCACGACTTGGCCCCGGGCGCAGGGAACCGCGCTATAAAAAGCCGCTGGAATTTACTGGCAGCTACAAATATTTGCTTAACTTGCGTCTGGAGTTGGGGGTTTTTCCGGGCAAAAAGGACAGTGAGTGAGGATTGGGAGCTGGTCCTCTCGAGGATCGGGGTCCAAGAGGAGCAAGACCTTGAGGGGAAAAGAATGCGGTTGGTATCCTTTTCTAGGGATGGAGGGCTGTCCCTTCATCTGCTCCGCTTAGCCTAGTCCAATGGCACCCAGGACTCGCACCCCTCTAGAAATCTTGGGAGAGGGATCCTGCAGGAAACTAAAAGGGAGTCGTCTGGATCTCAAATTTTTGCTCCAATCCCTACATTACGTCTTCTACTTGCCAAAGGAGTCCCAAAGCAGGGTGACTTTCCACCCAGATCCTTTTTGGACCTTTCTGCCCCCAAGAATGTTTACACGAAATCTTTTTTGGCCAATTGCCTTACCTGACCCAGCTTGTTAGGCATTTAATCTACCTTTGTGAGAGGATAGGACCCACCTCCTTCAAAAGATCCCCTACGGCCATGAAAGGGATAGAGAAAACTTTGTATAGAATATTGGAGGAGGAGGGGGCAGGGAACAACAACAACATACCAAACTCAAACTGGGCACAGTTTTGGCTCCTTACTATTCCCACTATTTCTCAAACGTAACACAGAAAGCAGTCACCTCTTTTCCTTAGTTACAGAGGTCCCTCCTGCCTGGGACTTTCTGAGGTGCTGTTATTCAGGGCAACTATCAAATTCTACCTGTTAAAACATGATGGATTAGAGAGAAAAAAAACAACCCACCAAGAACCTGAAAAACCAGCGTTCATCTCCATGACCACGGCTTGAACTCTCCTTCCAACTTAACGATAATAGGTTCTGTCTTAGAAACTGCTGTGTAATTTGATGTATGGGGGTCATTTGGCTCTAGAGGAGGAATAGAGGCACAAGCCATAAAATCCTGCCAGAGTTCCCTGATCTTTGTGCTGTTGTTGTTGATATTTAAGTTGGTCTCTTTACCTGTTTCAGAAACAGTAAGAGGACTGTGAAAGTCTTAAAAAGCAACTGGAAGCCTTCCCAACAGTCTTTTATTTAGAAATCAGTTTGCACAAGGGAAATGGGTTTTCTTTTTCAATCTTCCCACCTTTGTGTGATCAGCGCTTGATCCACAACTCAGAAAAGTTCCCTGTGGATGCCATATTTCCTTACATACACACTCTTTTTTTCAAAATGTTAGTCACTCTGGTCTTTTAAAACAATTATAATGACAGATTCAAGAAGAAATGAATGGTTTACATTTCATTTCCCAACTATCCGTATTTGAATCCTAGAGCTATTCAGATTTTTTAAGAAACCCTAAGTACTTTATTATTTAGGGGAAAAAACAGAATGCATTAAATATCTACCAATGAATGATTCTAACTTTTGTTTTAATAATGTACTCCTTTGGATTTCATTATTAAACCAACATTCTGACCAATATCTGGAAAACAAGCACAAAATTTCCAGAACCTCAGTTAAAATTTACACTATCCCATAACCAGAGTTACTGTGCATGATCCTAAGTCACACAGTATTGTTTCTCTTTCGGAAATAGAGTGGGTTGGGGAGTATGATTGAAAGTAAATAAAAGCTAAAATAAAATTTAAACCTGAATAGCAATTTAATGTTTCAATGTCTTGATCTGCTAAAAACAGTTCCTATTATACTTGGCAGTGTTAATATCTGCCATTGCACGTGTGTTTTTTTAAAAGATATTAGGCTTGTATAAAATAAACCATCAGGTTAAGCAAATTCCTCCAGACACTTGAGCAGCAAGATATTAGATAAAACAAAATTAAGTTTATTTTGAACGTGCAGTATTTTAAGTGACTTGCAAATCCGTTATCAGGAGCTGCACTGGTCTGCTGCTTACTTCAGCCTTTTCCTCAGGTTATGTATTATTTTGTAAAATAACAAAAATATATTTTAAAAGCAAAGCGTATACAACAGTTCTCATACTTAAGAATTTATCTCCCATCAAAGTCCTTCCTATTGTTTGAGGACAGCAGATAACCACCTTAGGGTGCACACAACCTTTGTAACTCAGCCCCCAAAGTTTGTAACCTAGTAAAGAAGTTGGAGATTTGCCAGTCAGGAAACTTTGCTTGGAACCCCTCTAGCAAGGTCTGAGGAAAGGATTTATCTGCAGAGATTTGTTTCTGGACAGTAAGCCCCAGGTATAAGAGCCAAAAGAGAGTGAAGGAGGCTAAATGAAGTGCAGGAAACAAGCCCTATTGTCTTTCTAGGACTATCATCCCAAACTCAACCTCCTTCCTTTAGACACTGCTTCTTTCCAGCCCCTTCCCTTGCTCGGCCTGCCTTTCCCAGAGTCAAAGGATAGAATGTAGGGTAAGAGCCCCCCGTGTCCCTTTGCCCACCCTTCTTCCCTAACTCCCCACCCCAGAAAAGTTGAGGCTAGGGGAGAGGGAAGGTTGGGGGCGGGGATGGGAAAGCGCCCTGAACTCGAAGTGTAAGGGTATCAGTCACTGCCGAGAAGGAAGCTCCGGCTTGTGAACTCTTCTTGAACCGAGATTTAAGTCTGCAGCCATAAATCACCGAGACATAAACTCCGCCATTCAGCGATGAGAGCGGCTGGTTGTGGCCCTGCTTACCTTAACTTCTGAAGAGCGCCACGAGCGCAGGCTCAGGCTGGGATTCCGGCCCCCCGGCCCCGCTTGGTGGCCCAGCCAGGTCCCCTCTGCTTGGGATGGCCACCGACCCTCGGCATCAGCCGAGACAGCGGGCGGGCGGGGGACCCCAAGGCCGGAACGTCGCAGAGCGTGGCCGCCTAGCTGCTCAGGCTCCGCTTGCCCGGGGCGGACTGGGGTGGCTTGGACCCCC